TGGAAAATAAATATACTTTTATTTAATTGGAATATATTTAAAGTCCTTTTTAAGTAACTTTATTATTTTAGCAACATTGTTTTTTGTTCTAGAATGTTTTGAAAGACAACATTTATTGATACCCATCATTTTTATTTTATTTTTATTTTATTTGAGTGTCATGTAATGAAATTAATATTCATGAGTAATATATATATATATATATATATATATATATTTATTTTTATTTATTTTTTTTATTTTTATTTATTTATTTTTATTTTTATTTATTTATTTTTATTTATTTTTTATTTATTATTTTTTTTTTAATAAATATTGTTTTGTGTTTGCACTTCAGAGAGAAGTCGGTACAAGAGCATGCTGGGACCAGTGACCCGATTGAAGCCATGAGAAACATCCGTAAAGAGAAGGACCGCTTTCGAGTCCCGAAGAACTGAGCTCTCGGGCTTGTCTGCGCTGGTCATCACCACTACTTTTATATCTGCTCATCATTTCACTAACAATAGCAGGACATGAAGCATATGTGGAAACTCCATTTATAGCAGAAGCACAAGTATTGAGCTGTTTATTTTCATGTTTTTTTCTTTAAGGCAGCGTATCGTCTTCATTGAGCAATATACAGGATTGTTAACCTGTAAAACAATGTTTTCAAACCATTAATATAAGCAATAGATCAAACAAAACAATATATTATTTAGAATGTTTTCATCGTTGAAAGAATACATTTATGCCATTGATTTGCATTTATGGAAAATACAAATGTACTAGTTCTGTTGTAGGCAAAATTGTATTTACGTAAGGTTACGTAAGTTTTATTTTTTGACATTTTCAGCTTTTGGGAAGATCCAGGCCATGAACCAATGTGATGTGGTTAAATTATAGTTTTATTTCGAAATGTTTGTCTTAATGTGCAGTGTTTTATTTTGTAAATCAAAAAGAATCATTTTAAGATGTTATGAACAAAGCGAGGTGTTCCAGCTAAATTTTATTTGGTATATTTTTATGTCCATCAGAAAATTACATTTGGATAAATTGCATTTATTTTGATGTCTCTGGATGATTTTGAATGAAGAAAATATTGCATACTGATTTCAGCTTTTCGCTTTGTTTTAGCTCATCCAGTTATTGTTTCAGTTGAACTTGCACTTTTTGGCATCAAAAATAACAGATATTATTAATTATAATTACATTGTTCAAACTGAATAAAGTCTTAATGTAAATATAAACAGCTGTTTGCAGTTTTTTTTCCATAAATTGAACTACACTTAAGATTAATGATGTTTTATTACCTGCTTTTGTATAAAACAATATTAAGTACTAATTGTTAAAAACAAATTTTCTTGTTGCAATAACAGCATAAGTCTTCCAACTGTCCTGTTTTATTATCAAAAGATTTACATAAAATATGCATAACAATTATAATAATTCAAAGTATCAAATTACAGTTTTAAATGTCACACAAATGAAAAAGATGTACCGTGCACATTATTAATATCAGGACTAATTTAATACTTCAAATGTAATACTTCACTATTTAATACTTTTTTTGTTGTTTTGTTATTTTAAGAAGCCCTGAATCAAAATGCCTATATTAAAAAAAAAATAAAAAAAAAAGTAAATAATCACAAATATATGAAAAAAACTTGAGTAAAATATATTTATATTTTATTTTCTCAATAAATAGAATTACATTCATGGAATGATTATATGCTTGGCAACATGCAATCATATTTTTATTATCATAAATCAAAAGATATTTTAAAAAACAAGAAAAAAATATTTTCAGTGCATACTACATAGTAACATATTTTGCATTCAACGCTTTCAAAGAAACAGACTAATGAATAAATGAAAGAAAGAAAAAATAAGGCAACATTCATGGACAGAAAAATTGTCTACTGCTATAAAATACATAAATGCTGGTTTGATATGTAGTTTGACCAACTTTCTTCAGCAGATACCTAATAGAAGCGTATTTGCAGGAAATATTACTTCATAATCACATTTGTTAATGACATGTCTATAAGTGTTAAGCTGGTGTAGTGTCAAATGCATGTTAAAGACAGTTCACACACAGAGATGTGCTCAGTGGTTTGATAAACACTGGCAAAGAAACAACATAAACAGTTCATCAGTGTCTCGTGGCTCCTCACCACTTTATACTGAGTCCACTGGTGTTTTTTTCTACGCTGTGGTACTGTGTGTGCAGCAGCTGTCTGGCTTTCTCCTCACCCACGCTCTCTAACCAGCTCTGATAGAGTTCAGCCACTGGTGAGTCCTGCTCTGGCACTGAGGGACATTCACCGCGGTACAACTCCTCCACCTGCTGCAGCAGCTCTTTGTTAGTTTGATCTGATGAAGGCTTAAGCTGACCGCCGCCATTAAGACATCCTGTAGAACACAATTAGAAGTGTTAGTGAATCCGATTATTTTAAAATGCTGCCGAACAGCACTGAAACACCATCCTATTATTGTCTGAGAGCAGATTTAACTCAAGAGAATAGTATCACAAGATTATCCAAATATATATATATATAATTAGGAATGTAATTATACAATATAATTCTAAAAGAGTAAAATTGTCCTTCAGTGATGCTGATCGCAACATTTTTTTCCCTACATAGAGGCATCATATGGCATGTGTTGAGAGGTAGGTTGCACAAAGCTGCAGAAAATGTACAAATGTTACAAAAAGGTTTTTAAGGACTAGAGGTGTCATTTCTGACCTGACGGACATGCCATCACTTCTACAAAGTGGTACGGTGACTTTCCGCGTTTCAGCTTCTGCACCAGGTTCTGAATGTTCCTGAAGCCGTAGACGGCAGCAAACTGCAGCAGAACTTGACCGTCCTTCTCTAGAGTGACTTCCTGGAAATCTTTGTTCCTTTTGAAAAAAAAAAAAACAGAGACAATGTTAGTTACAAAAATGTACCGAGGCACTACCATGAGATGTGACCAATAAATTATAGTAGCACCATGGTACTTCTGGAAATGTTATGGTGAACAAACACTTGTTAAATCAGTCTTTTTAAATAAATAAAACATGACAAGCAATGCATATTATTCCTTAAAACAGTACTGTGGTAGAGTGATTTATCAGGTGTTAATAATAAGGTATTTTAATACAAGCCATGAATGATTATTGTGTTAATTTATTATGGTGCTTTAATGTACTTTCAAGAATACCATAATATTACATGGTTCCTAGAATTTCTGACCAATTTCCAGTCCAAAAAAAAAAAAAACACGTTTTAAAGTGGTTTTTAAATATGATTTCATAAAGAAATTCTTACTTAATTTAGAAATCAGTAAATTACAAATGACTTTCTAGTCATTTCTAGCCAAAGAAATACTTTAGAAGAATTAAGCATAACTGGAAAAATTACATTGGCTATAGAATTATGTATTAGCATAATCTAAAACTTCCATAATCTAATTTCCATGAAAAAAAAATCATTTTCCTTAAAAAAAACTCTCATATTTCTAGGTTTTCCCGGTCTGACTCAAAAACCATGGTAAATATTTCTAACATTTAAAAACCAGTTTATAATTCTATAAACCAACATTCAAAAGTTTGGAGTCAGCAAGATTTTTAAAAATATTTTTGAAAGATGTCTCACCAAGGCTATTTATTTGATTGAAAATAAAGAAAAAACACAAATATTGTGAAATCTTATTACTATTTACAATCAAATTTGTCTATTTTAAAAATAACTGTTTTCTATTTGAATATATTTAAAAATTATTGAATTATTAATTATTTAAAATAAATTGTAATGTATTCCTGTGATGTAAAGCTGAATTTTCAGCATCATTACTCCAGTCTTCAGTGTCACATGATCCTTCAGAAATCATTCTAATATGTTGATTTAGCACTTAAGAAACATTATTATTATAAATGCTGAAAATAGTTGATAGATTTTTTTTCCAGGATTCTTTAATGAATAGAAAGTTTAAAAGAACAGCATTTTTATTATTTGAAATAGAAATCTTTTGTGACAATGTAACAGTCTTTTGATCATTCTGATTAATTTAATGCAACCTTACTAATTAAATGTTTGAATTTCTTTAAAAGAAAATCTACTGACCCTAAACTCTTTAAAGGGTTAGTTCACCCAAAAGTGAAAATTCTGTCATTAATTACTCACCCTCGTGTTGTTCCAAACCCGTAAGACCTTCGTTCATCTTCTGAACACAATTTAAGATATTTTTGATGAAATCTGAGGGCTCTCTGACCCTCCCATAGACAGCAAGGTAACTACCAGGTTCAAGGTCCAGAAAAGTACCAAGATGATCGACAAAGTAGTCCGTGTGACATCAGTGGTTCAACTGTAAAGTTACGAAACTACGAGAATACTTTTTTGCGCAAAGAAAACAAAAATAACGACTTTATTCCACATATTCGTCTCTACTGCGTCACTTTGGACACGCGTTCAAGACAGTACCATGATGCGAGCGTGTGGCGGCGCTGACCCAGATCCGGCGTAATGACGCCACACGAAAATGTGGAATAAGGTCGTTATTTTTGTTTTCTTTGCACAAAAAAAGTATTCTCGTAGCTTCGTAACTTTACAGTTGAACCACTGATGTCACACCTGACATAGGTGTGCCTCAACAGAATGACTTAGATACATAACAGCTACAAGTGTATGCACTACTTGCTTTATGAAAGCACTATATAGGATAAATCACTATACAGGATTTACCCTATTATACTTTATCGACACGAATTGATAGGTGAAACAACAAACAGCCACCCACAAATAGTATATAAACAAAGCATCAGGCTGTCTTTGAGTTCACATGAACAACGGTTAAAGTTATCATCGTCAGGCTACAGAAGAATACCATAATTCCTCCGTTACGTTAGACCCAAGACATCGAGAGTCACACAGACCTATAACAACCCAGCCACAACACATAATTGCGAATAACATGCCTTACCTTAACACAGAATCGACCACAGAGTCCAGCGTTTATATTTTTTAAGAGTGTACTTTCAGATATTTATAAAACTGTGCCATTTTACAAACAAATATATATATATATATTTGTTTGCACTGATATATCCCATGATTCAAAATGCATTTTGGCCATTGATTTGTCATTTAAATGTAAATAAGTGTGGAAAAAATCTAATAAAAAAAATCGAATTAATATTTAATTAAATATTGTTTTAATTAAATATTCTTTTTAATATATAAAATAAATAAAAAAATTATATTTACATATATTTTAATAACAAATATCATTCAAATAATGTGTAATAATAAAAAAAAAACGTAATTCCTCACTTAATTAAAAAAAATTGGAACAGGTTGCACCCTGATTGATCTGTATGATATCCTGTAAACCAAACTAATAAAAAAAATGCTCTTAATTCATTTCTAGGTGCTTGATTATTGGCTGTTCACTTGAATAATTCCTAATAAAACCTGACTTCCCGTTAATGCATGAAATTTGCATGCCACTCAGTTTGATTTGTTAATATTTGATGCAAATAAAAAAGTATGTTTCACAGTCGATTAGCTTCGTGCAAGCTGCAAAACAAAAAACTTTACATCTACAACATGTCAGAGACCAAAAAAGGTATATAATAAGTTGAAACAACAAATAAATTAACAATATATTTAAACTACATTAACACAACTTAAACATACAAACTATAAAAGCATAAAG